AATGATTGTATGAAACACTGTGAACGAAGAATAGTGTGAAACACAATGTGTACAGACTTTGTAAACAAACAAATATAAAATAAAAATTTTATTTCTTATTTTAAAAAAATTATGTAAATCCTGACAACCTCTTGAAAATGATTTGATCAATATGCTGTTAAATAAAAAGTGCCCATAAAAAGAACAAAACCAAACAGAGAAACAGAACTAAACTTTCTCACCTCTTTCCTGGATTAGCTCTCTTCTCTAGCAAGGATTGAGGATTCCAAGGTCAACAACCAATGAGTAATAACGGAACTAAAAAATCCCTGGAGAAGAAATTCTTGGGGTATTGTTGTTTTGTACCATCAAGTCAGAACAAATTCATAGCTGACTCTCCAGAAGGTTTTCAGAGACAGTAAATTGCACAGGAGGAGACTGATGGGCTTTCTCCCATGGGGCAGCTGGCAGATTCAAACCGTGTGCTTTTGGGTTGGCAGCACAGCTCCTTACCACTCGGCTACCGGAGTGTCCTATTGGAGTCTTGGCTTTAGTAAAAGAAAGCAGCTCAAGTTTATAGGTTTTATTTTTACTGGTTTTAGTCAGAAGGATGTTTTCTACTTCTAGTATTAATTTTAGAAAGAAAAAACTTGCTAACATTTAATGCTAAGTGTATAATATGCCATTTTTAGTGAACACTGAGCAAGTAGTAGTAGTAGTAGTAGTAGTAGTAGTAGTAGTAGTAGTAAAAAGCCAAACAAAGTAGAAACAAACAGAAAATCAGACATGAAGTGATATGAGTCCGTGTTGTACATTAATTTTTGCTCTAGGTGAGAAATTTGCCTTCATGACCTCAAGGGCCCTTTTGGCATATGACTCTATGTGATCTGATTCTTTTCTGACTTCATCAATAAAAACAAAATAGCAAAATAGTTATTAGACTTTCTTGTTAGTATTCTCATATATTTTGGTGTTTAATAGTCACTGGAGAGATTTTAAAATCTAGATGGCAAAGCTGCGCACATAATAATTAGAATCTCTGAGACCAACTCGTCATTTTTTAAAGTTCCCCAAGTGACTTGAGTTTGTAATCTACTGTTCTAGAATGTTTATCAACTCAGAAACCATTGAACAAATAAAAAAAGTAATTGAATTCGTCATAATTTTTATATAATGTCAAGAAGCCCAGGTGCAGTTAGAAGTGGTTGAAAAATAGCTTAAAATTTACTTGAGATGATTTTGAAAAAGAATGTGTTTCTTTGTAAGAGCCAAGAAGGACATCTTTAATTAATTTCTCTCTTTCAAAAATTCGTAGGTGTATTTCTTACAGTGCCGTCGAGATTTTGGTTTACTTCATCTTGAGCAGACGGAAAAGGAGTGTCTCAGTCAGCTTACAAGGGTGACACACCTGGCAGCCAGGTAACCTTTGCCTCTTCGTGCATCTTGATTTCAGAGCTATTTCCAAAGAGCTTCAAGGTTGAACGTTAATCTGTGATGTGGTTTACATACACAATACTATGTGTGTATGTAAGTTTTATGTAGTATTGAATTTTAGAGTGAAGAAGTCACCTTGTCATTTTAAACCTCAAAAGTAATTTCATTACTTTGATGCTTTTGCTTTGTTGCCTCTGCTGAAATACTGTGAAGTCCGCCCACTGCAGGAATGACAACAGACAGATCTTCTTTCCTCACTGGTGAAATAGATCAAAAGTCACAGCCAGAGACAGACATAAAGGCCAGACATTTACAAAACAAGGTGGATTCTAATTGGAGAAATGGGTTTTAGAATTGGTTTATCTTCTAATGTTAAATATTTTGGAATAAGTTGAGGGAAATATCACTGTTAACATCTAATATAATGTGAAGGATAACTTCCTGGTAAATAAAAGTGAGTGGATTTTAAATATTGGTCAGACTGTTTCAAATTCTTCTCAAGTTTTTATGGAGAAGGGTTGCAGACTCAAAAGAATTAAGTTAGAATCTTTGTGACCCAGTCACATTTTTTTAAAAAATAATAATCATGTTAATGATTATGATTTAATTCTAGATAGGCAGAGTTTCTGATATTTATCCAGAACCCTAGGATATTTTGTTGTGCAGTTGAGTTGGAAAATCTCTGTTGTAAATTATTGGTTTATCTGCTTGAAAGAGATGATTTATAATTTTATGAGGTCATTTTGATAGAAAGTCATTAATAGCTTGTCCTGGCTTTTTGAAGGTCTTGTGGTGGGAGACGCTGAAGGGGATGTGTTCAATCAGTTTGAAACTTCTGAAAGGCATCATGCAGTTTTCTGAAAATGACAGACACCAAACTGGTCTTGCTTTATAGTCATTTAGTGGACATGGACGTGGACTGTAAAACTCGACCATGGTTATAGAGTTTATACGCTATATGAAGTTAAAAATCTGATTTTCCCACCAGAGAAGATGATTTTTTTTTCTAATTGGTCTGCCCAGATTGAATATTTTTAATTTGGGAAAAATCCAGATAGGTCAGTTGTGGTTATGTGTAGCGGGTACAAAAACAACTTTGAAAATAAGTCAAGCATAGCAGAGATGTTCAGATATCTTTGAGAATTCTGGATTAGACGAACATGGACATTTCCAAGTTGGCTTTCTGTGTCTCCTTATTTTATTGGAGGAATTTCTTTTCAAATTTATTCTAAAAATGATGCTAAAGGGCATGAAAAATGCATGGTCTTATATTTGCTATTGAAACAGGAATTGCTATTGTAGTTTTGGTTTTTATATTTAATTGCAAATTTACTTGAATTAATTATCAAGGACATAGATTTTTTTCTTGTTTTATATTATTTACATATATACTAGAATCTCCATTGACTATGCAAAGACTTTTGATTGTGTGGATCACAACAAGCTATGTCTGACTCTGAGAAGAATGAGAATCCCAGAACATTTGATTGTGCTAATGCTAAATCTATACTTGGACCAAGAAGCAGTTGTCAGAACAGAGCAGGGATACACTGCATGGTTCA